CGTGCCGTTCGTGCCACCCACCCAGACCTGACACACATCTGGAGAGCCCTTTTCTCTTCTCCCCCCTCTCCCTACCCTTCGATGGCTGGGCTAACTCCTATTCACCCTGCAGAGGCCCCTCTCAGAGTCACCTCCAGAGAGCCTCCCCGACGCCCCTGGGCTGGGGTCTGTGCCCCCCTCCCGCCCGTCCCCGGTGCCCCTCATGCCCTCTGAGGACTGGAAATGTCTCGCGTCCGTCTCACACAGGCTCTGAGGCTGCCCAGCCTGCCGTGTGCCCCCCCAGCTCCAACCCCTGCACCAGTGCCTGGCACGGAGAAACCACTGACATAGTCCCTCCTCCGCCCACATTCCTGGGGTCAGAGACCAGAGCCTCAGCCACAGCACTGGGTGTCGAGACCACCCAGCATTTGGACCACAAAGTCCAAAAGAGGCACCAGAGGGCGTGTCAGAGCTGGAGAAATGCAGTGTTTCAAATATACAGCAAGGAAGTCTCTCCTAGTTTGGGGCTTCATCCTTTACTCACTAAGAAAAATCATTTAAAGATGCTCACTGTGCCCCAAGAGGCTGAAGGAAGGACTAGAGGAACAGACTGGACCCAGAGGAGATGGGGGACCAGGAGGGAGGAGTAGCCAGCAGACGGCTGGACTCAGAGCACACAGATGGAGTGTTTCTGAGGGCCACCGTCCACCACGCGCCTCTGCCACAGACTCAGGGACCAACCCTGGACCAGACTCTCTGCCACCTGCTGAACTCGCCAGCATGCAAGGACCCTGATCCTCTGTGAACACAGCCGGCTCCCATGGACGTGGAAATGCCCTTGAAATGCCCTTACCAGGAGGACCTGCCCATGTCAGGGACGGAGACTTCTTCTGGGCCCCCTCCTCCTAGAAAATCCTATTCGTCCTTGGGCCCAGCTCAAATGCCCCCCGCTCCTACCCAAAGCCTTCCTTTCCTGGCCTCTGGGCTCCGAGTGGGCCCCCTCTGGGGACGGCACCCCGAATCTCTGGGCCACCCCCACCGTCTGTCCCTGTACACAGGACTAGGTCTTGTGCATATGCCCTGCAGCCCTAAACACACAGCAGGCCACTACCAACCCAGAGAGAGAGAATCAGGCCACGCTGGGGGACCTCGGGCTTTCGGCCACCAAGCTCACCCCGTCTGAATCTGAACAGGCTGCTGTCCTTGTGGAGACAGAGAGAAAATGTCCACTCATGAGGCACCAGGGCCACGCGGAGCCCCCCACACACGTGGCCAGGTCCTAAAAGGTCCCAGCCACACAGCCCTGGTCATACCTTCCCTGACCTGACCCTCCCCCACACCCGCCAGGGCACATTCCTGACACCCAGTCACACCAGACGTCTCAGGGTGGCCAAGGAGACCAGGGTCACCCTTCGCTGCTCTCTGGAGAGTTGTCTGGGACTGAGGGCCCAGGGGGTGTGGTTCTGGGGGCCCCAGGGCCAGGCTGTACCTGTATCAGGGGAGGGAGAGGATGTTAACTCCTTACGCCCAAGACTTCCAGGGCCTTCTGATGACTCCACCCAGCTCTCTGTCCTCCAAATTAAACGTGCGTGGGGCCCACAGACTCAGCACGATTCAAATTCTAGAACCTTCACAGTCCGGGTGACCCCTGTCGTGGGCTGAATGGTGGCCCCCAGAAGATATATTCACATCCTGGAACCTGACTGTGACCTCATTTGGAAAAAGGGTCTTTGCAGAGGTAAACGAGCGAAGGATTTCGAGGTGAGATCATCCTGGATTATGAGGCGGCCCTAAATCCAATGACTGCTGTCCTCTAGAGACAGAGAAGACAGAAGGAGAATGTCACATGAAGACCGACGAGAGACTGAAGCGATGCGGCCACAATCCCAGGGACTCCTGGAGTCCCCAGGAGCTGGAAGCGGCAGGAAGGACCCTCCCCTAGAGCTCCCCGGGGGAGCCAGCCTGCCCGCATGGGGACTGTGGACAGAACTGTGAAGGAATACGCTTCTGTTGCTCTAAGGTCCCCGGTTTGCGGTGATCTGCTACAGCAGCCCCAGGACCCTAACTCACGCCCTCCCGGACCTAAATTACCGGCCCTCCTCCCAGGACGGCCCCCGAGCAGCCTGGTAGTCTAACCCCACGTGCAGGGGTGCCCCGTCCCTCCGTCCCTCCGCCACCCAGCCCTGCAGGAGGACGTCCTCACTCGGCTGAGGCATTTCCTGTGACAGTCTAAACACCAGCTTAAATTGGCGGAGCAGCGGCAAGCTTGTCCCTGGAGGAGAACAGAGCCCAGTGGGACCTGCTGAGGGCTGAGGGCAGAGGGCAGAGGGCCGGGCCGGGCTGGCCCAGCCACCCGCTCACCCTCCACGGTGTTCTCTCACCGTTGCTGACTGGGCAGGTTTGGCCCGTGGCCTCGGGACAGCTTGGAGCAGGAGGGAAGACTGAGAATACCCAAGAGCATCTGCGCTCTCGGGTCAGTGTCCACAGTGGCACCGAGGTCTGGCCTCGGGCGCTGCAGGTCCGCTGGGCCGGCCTGAGTCTGCAGACTGAACTCATTTGAGGCCTCGCACAGAAGCCCCAGGATGGCCCTGCAACAGCTCGCTCTGGTTTCTGGCAACCCAGGAAAACACAACAGCTTGAGGTCCAGCCTCCGCCCTCACAGGAGTCACTGCTGGATGCCCGGGCTGTTTAAAAGCAGAAGAGGAGTCCACCCACACCGAGAGTCAAGAGTCAGAAGCTTAAACTCAGAGGCCACAGAGGAAAGATTCCAGCAGGCCTATTACATTAGGTCAGGGCAAATAACACGAGTCTCCAAGGAAACGGTCCTCCTGCCCTGCCCCCACCCCCCGCCCCCACCGCAGGGCGCACACCAGCGCCACCCCCGGTATGCACCCCAGTCCTTAAAGCAGCCACAAATGATCCTGTCTGAGCGTCAGAGCCAGGAGGGCCTGGCCCGGGAACTCCACCATCCCAGGCATGAGCAGAGTGAAGTGAGTACGCAGGTCTCCCTCCGCCAGGGACCCCACATGGAGGGAACCTCGGAGGGGAGGGTTGCCGCCTGCCGAGCGCACTGCGGCCTATGGCCCTGACCACCCATGCGAGGGAGCAGAACAAAGCTGGGCAAGGGTCCCCTGCACCCTCCATTGCTCTGGACCCCTGAGTGCCACGACCTCTAATGTGCCAAAGACGAGCTGGCCCGAGGGCTCATCCAGCAGGGGACTCAACTGATGACCCATCTGGCCCTCCACGCAGCCCAGAGCAGGTGGCCAACAGCTGTGCTCACCTCCCGCTCAAATTCCCCGGGGGTGGAATGCACACGCCTGCTGCAGTCAAGGCCCTTCAGACTCTGGCTGTGGCCACCCCACGGGCTCCAGGGACCACTGCCCCAAACTGCCCTGCCCCACAAACCCACCTGCACCTCTGCTACATCACCCCTTCTGCCTCCCTTTGCATCTCCAAACTCGTAACTTCCCCCAAGCCCACAACGCAGCGAGCACAGTGACGTGCAGCTGGCTACAGATGTCCGGCTGCCTCGAGCGGGAGCTTGACCCTCCCCTGCTTGTTCATCTCTGCAATTTATGTCTTGTCTGCTCACAGGCAGGGCCCCGCGGGCTGCCCCCACAGGGCTGGCTCCTGCTGCGAGACCCACCGGGTTTGTTCCCAGCACCCGGCACGGCCAATGGAACACGGGCCCAAATCAGCCTGTTCCACCCACCTGCCCTTTGCAGAACGAGGGGGCCCAGGTGGCCAGCATCCAGCACGACCATGTCCTCAAGTGCATTCCCTCTGCCCAGAGAATCCAGGCATGACCAAGGCCTGGGAGGCCGGCACACCCCCATCCAACCTGGCCGGACGAGAGCCTGTGCCAGACCCTGAGCCATGAGCCTGTGGGTCGGGGGGATTAATGCCCTTTTACGCGGGGGTGGAGGGGGAAAGGTGGAGTGAGGTTGCCAGCAGCTCGGAGCCTCCATCCCCACCTCTGCATGAGGGAGAGGGTGATGATACTCCTCTGGCAGGGGTCCCGGGCTGAACGAGGGTGGGGATGCGCAGCGCTAGGCCCAGTGCACGGCTCCCACCCAGGGCCCACCCTCCGACCCAGCACACTGACCGTGCGTATTGCAGCTGCATGCCAAGTCACCAGGAGGCCACTCAGCCCACTGCGAGCGCTGGGCAGCCAGCGCAGACAGGCACGTGCTCCACTGGAGAGAGGACAGAAGGGGCTGCGCGTCCCTCCCCACGGTGACTGCAGGTCCGTACGGAGGCCCAGACGCATACACACCCCATACTCGGAGAACTGTGGGCAGGGGGCACTGGAACAACCCCCAGCCCCAGAGCAGCCCCAAACTCTCTGTGGGAGGGACCAGGGTGCGCTGCTCTAAGCCCTGCTCCTGAGCCTGGAGGTCAGCTCACTGGCATGCTCACTCCTGTTTCTGCACTCACCTCGCCTGGGACGTCACTGTGGCCCTTGGGCACTTTGCCCTCAGAGCTCAGGAGGGGCCCTCATCTGTGACATTGGGCAGCTCTTCCTGCCCTGCCCTGCCCCTGGGTGTAGGGGGCTCACGGGCCATGGGAGCTGGTGTGTCCACGAGGAATCCTTGGTCCACAAATGTGTTTCTCAGTACGTCCTTGATAAATTTATTCTTTTTTTTTCATTAAATCCAAACACGAGCATCTCTGATGCTCTGTGACCTCAGACTCAGAGCCATGAATTGTGACATGAAGGCCACACTCCAGAGATGCTGAGTACCTCCTATGTGGGTTTTGTGCCCAGAGGGTCCCTCCTCTCATCCTCCAAGTGGCCTCGAGCCCCTCCCTCCAACGGGGAAGAGCAGAGGCAGCTGAGGGTCTGGACTCAGGGCTAAGCACCATGTTTTTGGGAGACACAACCCTCGCTGTGTTTCTGAGACGCCAGGACGGCAAGCATGCGAGTGGGGTGGGCCGGCTCCAAGCCAGGGTTTTCAGGGACAGCCGAGAGCTCCGGAGCTGCCTGGGGCCCAGCGTCCCCTCGGCTGCATACTTACAGTACCCACACCTGGTCCCGCCTTCAAAGATGAATCCGTTGGGCACGGCCCCGTAGCGCCGGAGGTCAGACAGCTTCCACTGCCCCGTGACGGCCGGAGGGACGTCCCTGGCCACGACGAGGATGTCGTTGCAGAGGTGGAGGGTGGCCGGGCCGCTCTCCAGCTTGGTGCCTGGAGCCACTGTTACGTGGAACCTATGCACTGAGGGCAGGACAGGGGCAAGAGGGCATCACCAGGGGCAGAGGAGGCAGGGGAGCAGAGGGCGGAGTAGCTCCCTGGGTGTCAGCTCCATTGGGCAGGCTGCCCTGCATCGCAGTCCCACTCTCGGCAGCTGCTCCCAGAGCAGCATCCAGCCCTGGGGTGGCTGCGCTCACTGCCCCCATCCTTCAGGACCCACCTTGTTTGGGGGGCGGGGAAGTCCTCAGAGGGGCTGCCCTGACCACCCTCCCCATCCTGACACGGCCGGACTCGGCCTCAGCAAGCTCCTCACACAAGATGGCCGATAGATACCCTGCGTCGGGAGTCCTGTTCACAGAGCACCTCCCCTCAGGAAACATCCCACCACAGGCAGCTGGCATGGTCCCATTTCACAGATGGAGAAACTGAGGCTCAGGGAGGCCCAGCCTCCAGTCAGTTCATGCAAAGTCTAGGGTCTGCCTCACAGCCAAACCTGGCCACAGGGACACTCAGGAAACCGTGGACCCTCCCCTCTCCAGTTAGGGGTTCTCCCTGGTGCTGAGCACGATGCACTTGCTCCCCACGATCTCGTCCTCTACCTCCACTCAGCCCTTTGCCCCTGAAGCCCCTCAGAGGAGGACAGAGGAGCTCTGCTCTCCCCAGATCGCCCCACCCCGGAAGGGGGTGCATGCCTGGGGTACCTGCCCAAGAGCGGACGGCAGCCTGCCTGCCTCAGCCACCGCCTCATCTCCAGCCCTGAGCCAGCGGGGCCAGTTCCCACCTGTCCCCTCCTCCTCCTCCGAGCCCCACCCGAGGCCCTGCAGTGGGGTGTCAAGGGGCTCCTGGGTGGGGAAGGCGGGCTGACGTCCTGTCATGCCTGGCCTGAGGTGGCTGGGCGTCAGTGACCCCATCGTGTTGTCCTCATCGTGATTTCTATAAAGGCGCCAGGACAGTGCGCCAGCTGCCTCTGTGCGGACCCTGCCCCAGCCCACAGGGGAAGGACAGCCGTGCCACTGAGCCAGGCTGAACGGCGGGAACCCCCAACTGGGGAACTTTCTAGAAAGGCGTGGTTCTTCCTTCCTGCCTCTGCGCCCTCTCACTGAGCCATCCACCCACCCGCTGCACTAAGCGCTGGTCTGGGGGCTCCTGCAGGAGGGGGGCTGCTGCTCCGGGCCTGGCTGGGTAAGGTGAGCGAGGCCCTCACCTCGGGCGCAGAACCCTCCAAGACCAAGATCAGTGATATTTTAATGATTATTTAAACAAATAAACATTAACGCAACAAGTCCAAGATAAACGAAATCTCAGATGTCTAAAATGAAGGCGAGGCCCGCCAGGGTCCTTGGCTTGGGTCCTTGGCAAGTGCAGGCTCAGAGTCGGCCTTTATTTTAAATTGATTTTGAGGGTTTTAAATACTACGTTAAATTATCCTTGATCTTGACAGCTGCATTTTTTGGGTCCGAGGCGAGTCCGGGCCTGCGACTCCTCTTCCGTGCGCAGGGTCGGCCCCCACCCGGCTGGCTGCTGAGGGCTCACCCCGTCCCAGCTGGACTGGGGCTGCCCCCTCTGCGCGCACCACCCGGGGTGGGCAGCTGCCGCCCTGTCTGCCCGCCGGCCGCCCCGCAGAGCTGTGGGGCGGGCCGTGCCCCCGCGTCTGCCTGCCTCGCCTCCCTGGCCTTCCCTCCCCAGCTCCGGCGGTGGACCGGCTGCACCCCAGTGGGAGACGCGGTGGGACGGTGACTCCGTGACAGCCCCTTCTCGCACCCTAAGCACAGAGCCCGGCGGAGGAGGGACTCAAATACTTCTGCCCGGTGCCCTGGAGTCGTGTCCCGGCCTCTGCAGCGCACGGGTGAGGGCCCCCAGGACACTTAAGGATGCGGCTGCCCCCCACCCCGGACCCCGTGCCCTGGCGTCACTCACCCTCGCCAAGTGCGTAGCGGATCCGGGCGTCCCAGGCGCACATGGCTTCTCGGCTGTCGAAGCCCAGCATGACGGCCTGCGACAGGCAAACGATGGCGAGCGTGTGGGCCAGGCCCTCGTAGGGCAGGCCGGGCTGCAGGCCGCAGATGTCCTCCAGCGTCAGGCTGCTGCGCTCCCGCAGGCCCCTGGCCCGCTCCGCCTTGTCCCTGTAGGCCAGCATCAGCAGGCAGTCTGCAGAGGTCACGGGACAGCACAGGTAAGGGCCATCAGGGGCGCCAGGCCAGCACAGCTGCCACCCGAGCCCCGCCCCCCCCACAGAGAGTCCTGGGTTCAAGGCGTGACCCCAAGCAAGCCCCCCAGCCGCTCTGAGCCTCCGCTTCCTGGTGTACAAAACTGCGCCCCAACACCACGGCGCACCGGCCACACCGCAGAAGTGGGCCTGGAGCTCTTCGTGGCTGGGCCGCCCGCCTGAATCGGACCCCCACGGCCGGGTCCTGGCCCCACCACTGCATCCGCCTGCCCCAGGTGCGAGGGCTCACGCGGCCGCTCTCAGGGGCTGTAGGGGCTCTGGTGGGTGGCTCCGGGGACAGGTAGAGCCTGCCGGGGGCTCGGGCCTTCTGCTTCAGCCCTGCGTGTGCCCCTTCCGGCCACACCAGACCCTCTTCTCCCGGACTCCAGCCCTGAGGGGGGAGGAGGGGCACTGGGCCTCGGGTCCCACTGCCAGATCCCACACGAGCCCACCCCCGAGACCCCGTGCCTCGGGCCCCAGTCTCTTCCCCGGCTGCAGGGGACGCGCCTGAGTCTGGGCGACTCGGGCCTCTGTCCTCAAGGTCCCCTTTTCCCTCCACATCGTAATTGCCCTCCCTGTTACCCCAACGGCAAAGCGGGCCCCAGGCCGCGGGTGCAGCTGCACTTAGCGCGGGGGTGCGCCTCCAAGTGCAGCCCGCGCCCCCACCCGTGTGGCCCTGGGCCCTCGCAGGGGACCTGCTGCCGCCTGTCCTCCCAGAGGCGCCCCCGCCGGCCCGGGGTCCATAGCTTCTGGGCCCCGAGGCCCGGTCTCCGAGGAGGGCACAGGGTGTGGGGCCTGAGTGGACACCAAGTGTGGGACACCCGGCATCCTGCGGGAAAGGGAGAAATCAGGTGCCTCGTCCCCGTCCCTGCGCGGAGAGGACGGGGAGAACGCGGGAGGCCGCCACGGGAAAGGGGCGCAGCGACATGGCCACTTGAATCCTCCGGACAGCAGGCCCTGCCAAGCCAAGTGAGAACTTGCTCACAGGAGGTCTGCGCAGGGATGGAGCACGCCGAGGGGTCGTTCCGCCCCGCCCCTCCTGGCCAGTCAGGCACAGCCAGGCCCGGGGCGAGAGGAGGACGGGGACACGGAGGCCGCGGTCCGCAGACCTTCCCCATGGGGGCCAGAGGGCGGACAGCCGTCCCGGCCAGGCCCCTGCCCTTGTGGGGTGAAAGGGCCGCAGGCCGTATGTAAACTAACACGGGGGCTGGGGGCCCCCAAACCTGCAGTTACAAAATGGGGAGACCCTCACCCCCTGTGTGAGGTCCTGTCCGCAGTAGCCAAAATGCTTACATCAGAACAAAGCTAAGATGTTTCCATTTTGAGGGAAGGAAACTCCCAGAACCCACAGAGCCCCGTCCGCCCAGCCAGGGCGCCGGCCCGTTCTCTCCCGCGCGGCCCCGGAAGAGGCTGCAGCTCAGACAGCTCCTTGGGAAACTCGTGGCCTGGCCAGAGGGAAAGAAGTCACACAGGTGGCATAAAGGCCACGTGTCTTATGGAAATGTCCCCCCAATGTGTCACCAGAGTCTCCAGGGGTGAGAACTTGAGGGAGGTCCCAAGCATAGAAAGATTCGCAGTCAAGATCCTCGTGGGACCAGAGGGAAGCCACTGAGCGCAGCGGGGCAGCTACAGAAGGGAGCGCAGCATGAGGACAGCCCGCCACCCACACCCCCAGACACACCGACCACCTCCTGCCGCTCCTCTCCCCACAGCAGGCTCCGGCGTCCCTCACGGTGGTTTTCCTACCTAGCTGTCTGTCCCTTGTCTATTTGCTGTCTCTCCCCCCAACCCCCAAAGGTGAGCTCTTCAAGGCAGGCCCACCTCTGCTTGTGCACAGTGACAGCCCCATCACCTGGCACAGAGGAGGGTGGGGATGTTCTGTCAAATGAAAGACCATCGCTTTAGGTGTGGTCCGACCCGAACAGCAGAACGAGACTGTCACCTCCTCTGTTCTAGGAGTTATGCTCCCAGGAATACAGCCAAGAGCAGGGTCAACAAATCTTTCTGTAAAGAGCCAGACGGTAACTATTTTTGGCTTTGTGGACCACACAGTCTCTGTCACAACTACTTAACAACACGTAAGTGAATGGTTGTGTTCCAATAAAACTTTATTAGAGAAATAAGCAGTGGGCCGGATTTGACTTGGGGCCGTGGTGTGCCGACTCCTGGTCTAGAGTCGAGTTGGCTACAACAGCCGGTGCATCACCCCACGGGTCCTCACCCTTCCTGATGCCTCCTGCCACAGAGCAGGTCTCCCTATCCTGGGGTGTGCGTTTGCACGACTGGTTTTGGGGGCCTGCGTGCAAGAGCCAACACTTGTCCCTGAGACTCTCCCCCCGGGGGTGTCCAGTCTTTTTGGATTCTGGCTGTGTCTGAAATGCAGCCCACACCCTACTCCTGAAGGAGATCTGGGATTCATGAGCACCCTCAGCCATCTGTAGTGGGCTGAATGGGGCCCCCAAAAGGTATGTACTCGTCTGACCCCCGGAACCTGCAAATACAACCTTATTTGGTAAAAGGTCTTTGTAGATATGATCAAGTTAAGGATCTCAAGATGAGATCATCCTGGATTAGGGTGGCCCTAAATTCAATGACGAGTGTCCTAAGAAGAGACAGAAGAAGAGACAGACACACAGGTGAGGAGGCTGCGTGAAGACGAGTCATGGCTGATGCAGCCCCCGGGGAACGCCTGGAGCCCCCAGGAGCTGGAAGAGGCGGGAAGGACCCTCCCCCAGAGCCTCCAGAGGGAGCGCAGCCCTGCCCACACCCTGACTTTGGATGTGTGGCCTCCAGGACTGAGAGAGAATCCCGTTGTTTTAAGCTCCCGGTTCATGGAGATCTGTTATGGCCGCCCCAGGAAACTAAGACACCATCCAAGTCACTGATTTTGTTTTTAAATACGAGCAAAGCAGTGAGGGCCACACTGTGTGCCGTGCGCTGTGGGAGCAGCTGACCCACCCCACACTCGGGGCCCCCACGCCCCCCAGCAGTGCGGCCCCCCGGGAGTGTGGGGCCCAGGGGGCCCTGTGCTTGCAGCTGCCCCAACCCCCCACCTCTCGCCATCACCTCGGCCCACAGATCGACCCTATTTTGAAAACCCATCCTCAGGGAGCGCTGTTCAGTGCAGAGCTGCGGCAGCGACAGGCACCGAGAACGGCAATTCTCCGTCCCGGGCCTGGGACAAAGCAGGGGCGGGTGGGAGGGACAGCGGCCCAGCGCCCGGGAGCAGCGACACGGCCCGCCCTTCCCGGGCTGCAGCTCGCCTCCAGACACGCTGGACAGAGGGATGCCAGAGCCTGCACGCCGGCCGCTGGAAGCCCAGCAAGACTGGTCGCTTGGCGGGGTCCCCTGGTCAGGGCTGAGGAAGCCCCGCCGGCCTTCCCGCCCAGCACGCCGGGCCACCCCCTCAAACGGCATGGTCGAGCTCCCCTCCATGCTGGGCCGTGCCACCCGACCTGGAACAAGCTGGCCCCGCTCATGGCGGCCGCCCACGTCTGAAGCCTGGGGCTGCAGGGGCGCGGCCAGGCTGGCCCAGGGGAGGAGCCGGAGAGTCCACAGGGCCGAGGGGGCCCTCTGGGCCAGGACAGCTCGCGGCCGGGGTCGGGGGTGGAGGGACACGGTGGAAGGAGGTGGAGGGAGGCACAGACACAGCAATGACACAGGTGCCAAAGACAGTGAGGACCAACGGGGTGCACGCACGCTCACTCACACCCACAAGCTCATGCATGCTCACACGCTGGCATCACTCACACAGATACACACTCAAACACCCACATGCTCACTTGCGCACGTGCAGGCTCACGCAAGTATGCACACGTATGCATTCCCCACACTTGCTCTTACACGCGCACACACTCCGCATCACTCCCACGGCCACTGAGCACCCCGTGTGCACAGGTGCCACCGGCTGACCTGGTTCAAACCCCACGTCCATGAGTGGGGGCCGTCCCGCAGCTCCGGGGCCTCTGCTCTCCGTCTGAGGAACAGGCAGCACCCGCCTTGCGGAGCCGAGGCGCGAGCAGGGCCCGCCCGGCGAGGCTCTGGGTAAGCGCCACACCGCCAGTGAGCCCGGAGCAGACCAGCAGGGGACCTCGCCAGGGCCTGGGACAGTCCATGTCATCATCAAATGCTGTAGATTACCTGCCCCTGGGGTCAGCCACCCCCGCCGTCCAGCAACTCCCACCTGCAGCGAGCAGGGCCAGTGTAGGGGGGAGCCAAGTGCCCGGTGGGCACCTACCCACCCTGCAGAAGGGACCTGACGCTGACAGACCCCCGCTGGGGGCCGAGGAGCCCACCACACCTCCCGCTCTGCCCACAGCCGGCCACCTCCCCGCAGCCATCAGCCCAGCTCACTCTGCTTGTGAGCAGCTGGGGGCCCAGGGGACAGAGCCAGGCCCCGACACAGGGGACACCCAAGACCAGGGACGGTCAGACACCAAAGCTGGCTGGCAGATCAAGGAGAAAACTGTGAGGAAGTGCTGCTCAGGGGACGGGAACAGGCACTCGATGACAGGGGCTGTCGGGGTCAAAGACTCTCCCAGAGGGGACAACGAAACCACCCCCCAGTGATGTAGGACCCAGCCCAGCAGCCCCACAAGGAACAGCACAGTGCTAGAGGGAACAGCCAGTGCAAAGGCACAGAGGCAGGGACCCAATGGGTGGGCCGGCACGGGGAGGGAGGGGAAGAGTAGTCCCAGGGATAGGCGGGGTCCAGTCAGGTGGGCCTGGTGAGCACACTTGATCCTCCTCCCAGCCCACCAGGGAGCCCTGAGGGATCTAAGCAAAGAGGGCCCTGCCTGGCTGCACGTGGAGAATGGACATGGGGTAACAGCAGAGGCCTCCAGGCTCCTGCAGCTGTTCTGGTGGAAGGTGCTGCTGGCCTAGGCCAGGAGGAAAGGGGGCCGAGGCTCTGCAGGAACATGGTGACAGCTTGGTGACAGCCCGGAGGGGGCCGTCCCTCTGCCTGAGGCAGCACTGACTCCCAGGCCCTCTCGCGGGGCGGGATGCGGGGGTGAGGGAGAGGTGGGGGTGAGGGCGAGGCTGGGTTCCGGTGGGGGAAAGGACGCCTGGGGAGGTGGCTGCGGGGCGGGGGTTGGGTGGGGGCTCTGTCCGGCACACGTGAGACTGAGAGGCCCATCAGACACTGGGCAACGTGCACGCAGGCAGCTGGACACGCGCGTCTGGAGTAAAAATAACCGTGGAGTCATGAGCACTCAGAGGCGATTACGGCCGGGTGGAGCTGCGGGGAGGGCGGGCCGGGAAGAGGCAGACCTCCGGCCTCCGCAGGCGGAGACGCAGCCGAGAGGATGGAGGGCCAGGGAGACGGAGGGCGACACCCACGGACACAGCCCGAGGCCTGGCACGGAGGACCAGTGGGGGCCGGATTTGGCCCTCGGGAAGAGGCAGACCTCCGGCCTCCGCAGGCGGAGACGCAGCCGAGAGGATGGAGGGCCAGGGAGACGGAGGGCGACACCCACGGACACAGCCCGAGGCCTGGCACGGAGGACCAGTGGGGGCCGGATTTGGCCCTCAGAGGTCACGGTGACCTTGAGCCAGCGCCTTCAGCAGAGCAGCATGGCAGGAGCCCGAAGGGACTCAGCAGGGGCAGCAGCCTGGGGAGGGGGCTGCTAACCAAGCCAAAGCCAGGAGGGGCCCCTTCTGCCCCTGGGCCAGGCCCAGTTCACGATCCTTCACAGCGTGGGCCTGGGGCGCGCGGAGGGCTGTGCCGGCTCACACAGGCGGCACCCCCAGAGCACGGTCATCGCGGGAGCAGACAGGCCCCACAGGTCCAGGGGCAGACCCAGGGTCAGCCCCTCCCACCCACCGCCCGTCTGCCCTCCGCGGGGACCCTCCCTGGGACCATCACTAGAGCCCGACTAGGACTCGGGTCACAGTGCGTGGGAGCGGAGCCAAGGTCTGAGCCCAGTGCTCTGACTCAGTCCTGACCAGGGGCTGCAGGAGGCCCTGGCCCTCTTGTGCGAGGTCTCCACGGGGACAGGAGGGCTGGCCGCCACCCACACTGTGTCCTCGGGCTGCCTGCTCAGCCAGGGACTGAGACATCACGCCCATTCCCAGGGACACAGATAATCCAGAGCCAGGAGGTGTGAGCCGGAAGGGACCCATCACCACCACCCGGGACCTCATCCTCTTGGAATAGGCCCACCTTAGCAGAGCTGCCAACTGCACAGGCTGAGGGGCCGGCCCAGGCCGGTGGGGCAGCTCGCAGCATCCAGGGCTGTGCCCTGAGGCCCCATTCGTGGGCTCACAGCACCTGCCAGGCTGCCTGTGAGGGATGAGGCCAGTCAGGGGACCCTACCTTCCAGGAACTCAGCGCCAGGACCGAGGGCAGGGACCCCGGGGGAGACTGAATGCACACCCCACCGTCAGTGGCAAGAGCAGCTCTCAAGGGCACCTGGCCCAGAGAAGGGACCCAGACACAAATCCTCTGGTCCAGCCAGAGGTCGAGACCCCGAGGGACACAATCCCACTGAAGCATTACTGCCTTCGTGAAGATCTCTCACTTCGTTTAATATAAGAGGTTTTCCTCTCTTGCACTCACTAAACTTGACTGTAAGAAGTGCTCCTGGTTAAGAGAAGCACACACAGGAGAAAGGGCATTGGGCGGAGGGTGCCCTCCGGCCCCACAACGGCCTCTGGTGCCCCTGGGCTGGCGAGCCCTCTCAACCGCCCCTCATGGGCCCTCCCTGGAGAAAAGCACCATTTTTAAAGATACGAGTCCTGGATTTTTATGACGAGAAGGCAGGGCGGCCTGGACTCTCTCCTGCACAGGCCCCCCCTTTGCTGCACGCAGGATCTGGGAGGTCTCAGCTGTGGGGTCCTCCAGGATGCCGACCTACCCCTCACACCTGAGTCCCCCCGGGAGCTGGTGTTTAGGATAAGGTTGGGTGAGGCGGGGGGCCGAGGCAAAGACCCCATCACAGCCAGGCCCACCCCAACGCCCTGGGAGAGGGGGCCTCGAATCAGCTCAGGGCTGGGGAGGTCAGGGGCTCTGACCCGAGGGGATGGGAGCACAGCCTCAGCACTGAGCGCCAAGCAAGGGCCGCCGAACGCAGGGCCATGTGGCCACAGGGCTCAGCTTTGGGACGCGGCCTCGGCCTGCATCCGTAAGAGGATGACGGCCGTCCTCATGCCATGTGAGGATGAAGGGGGTGCTGCTACAGTGACCAGCACCAACAGTGGGTGTTCTGAGACGCTGGGTCCGGGACATGAGATGGTGGGTGCGGGCTCAGAGTGGACGTCAACCCAGAGGGGCGTGCCCTCCATCCCTTCCCGCCCTATCCCTGGCCTCTGCATCCTTCCCTCTCTTCTCCACCAGCTTCCCTCCAATCCAGCCCCAGCGTCCTTGGTGTGGGGAGGCTCTACCTTCCCCAGATTCCATGGCGCTCTACCACGGGGGCTGCTTTCTCTACTGCTCCTGGGCATGCAGTAAAACCCAGGAAGGGCTCAATGACCACCAAGTCCACTTGCAGACTCAAGTGGTGTTGGGGACCCACTGTCAACTCCCCTGCAGCGCAGAAGGGCCCTCCCTCCACCGGCGTCCTCCAGGGCCGGGGCTGGGAGCACCCCTCTCAGGGATCTGATACTGAGATAAAACCCACATAGGGGGCTGCAAATTGCCGCTCCACCCCTCACCCCTATCCAGAGACAAAGACCAACCCCAGGGCTGCTCTTCGGGAGGGCCACCCTCCCAGGAGACTCTCTGGAGGTTGCCCAGGCCCGGGCTCACCACTGTCCCACCAAGCAACACCCACCCGACAGCCAGCCCCACCTCCAGCCACAGCTGGCCAAAGCCTCTTCCACGTCCCGTGGGCCCTTGCCCCGCTGCCCCTGCCCTCCGCCTGGCGAGTGCCCCCCATTCCCTGCCCACTAGGGGACCCTCTGTCTCCTCCATCAGGCCCCCTGGAGTTCCCCAGGACAAGGCCCCGCACAGCATCAGGCAGGGGTCTGGGCACCAACCACTGGCTGGATGAACGACCCGGGCATGGAGCCCAGCCCCCTGGAGGGGGAGCTGAGGCCCAGCAGGAAGTGAGCATGTACCCCGCCAAAAACAGGGGGTGCCCAGAGCAGGCTCAGCAGAAGAGACGAAGGAGAGGACCCAGGAGCAGAACAGGGAGGGCACCCCCACCTTCCCTGGGAAATGACAGACACGCCAGGCGCCCCGGAAGACGCCCTGGCAGCCCCACACGTGTGAGGCAGCGAGCACCCACGCCCCCAGCATCCCACACAGACCCCTGGGGCCTGGGCCGGCTCCAGGGCACCTGTCTCAGCAAACAGCTGCAGCCGAACAGCTCTGCGCTCCGCTGCGCCTGAATCCCGCGCTGAAGCTGAAGATGCCCAGCTTCGGGCTCCCTGCGCCTCCTCCCAGGCTTGGGGCGCCGGATGGGCGGGGAGAGCCTGGGTGGTCCACTCTCTCCTCCGGGTTCTGTTCGCCCACACCACGTGGACTTCACCTTTCTCAGACACAAAAGCAGCATTCTGCTCCTACCTGGCAGCCCAGCCTCTGCTCCACCTGGGGAAGGTGGAAGGGCGCCTGGGGTCAACACCGCCTGGAACCCCCATGCGGATTCGAATTCAATGACGCTACTCACGCACCAGGCGCACAGGAGCCTAACTTCCCGCGGTGCCCCCCTGGTGCGCGACGGGGGAGGGGAAGCGAACAGGCTCCTGACTGCGGCCCCTCCAGCCACCACTGCCCCCCGCAGGCCCCTCCGGGCCTCAATCTGCCCTTCTGGAAAGGGAGTCCCCGCGGGCCCGGGGTCTGCGCCGGCGGGAGGGTCCCGGCCCCGGCGTCCGCGGCAGGAGCAGGCCGAGGCCGGAGCGCTCTCCGGTTACAGCCCTCGCCCGGCGCCGCCGGCTATTTCGGGC